AAATGCTTCGGCTTTCCACTTTTTAATTTTTCAGCAATGACACAGTTTAGCCAAAATGTCATATTATTAGTAAGTATTATCGTTATCATAAGTATTGCAGATTTTGTTTTGTTGTGGAGAAATGCTGGAATCATGTGATAAAAGAAACTGTGCACAAATGGAAAACAGCATCTTGCCGGTTATCCACTGTCACCAGAAGCCCAAAAATATTGGTCATTCCCCCCAGAGGCTAATTCATCCTATGAGTTGCCCGTGAAGTGAATAGGTGATATAACTGAGTAGCTTTGCATACTTACATTTTTGTGATTGACACATTTCATTAGGACTAGCTCTCTGTACGCCCTCTTGGCATGGGTTTGATTTTGAAATGGCCGACTCAGCTTCTTGATGGCAACATTTCGTTCAAGGATTTGGTCATAAGCAGAGCTGGAGGACAAAGTGTGAATATTTTAAGAATGTGGTCACATATGTAGGAACACAGGCAGCAGAGATATGTCACTTCAATACTATGAAAAAATATATAAATTACAGTTTACATGGATTTGTATTGTATTGCTCCTTAGTTCAGTTCAGTGACAGATTTCAACGAGTAGCTGCTGACTGAATATGAATGAGGCTGAAACACTCACCACACAATCCCCTGCGCTCCTGAGCCGATGGGTCTTAGATTCTGGTATCGCTTCAGTACTGTGAACGTCGAGTCTCCGACATCGAGGCTGTAGAACTCTCTCTCTCGCTTGTTTTTGTTCATGGTGAAATCTTCAATTACTGCTCTCTGTGCATCCAAGAATGTTCTCTGTGTACACAAAGACACACAAGCGCGGTTCAAATATTTTGCAGGGGCCAGGACTATACAGCAGATACCATAAGAGCTGCTGCACAAAAATTAGAGAGTCAAATGAAAACCCCTGTTCCCAAGAAGGCAGATTAGGAGTGAAGGGGAAAAGGCAGTGCTGAGTTTCACACTTGAGGCGAGCGCTGCAGCTCCTTATCTCAGCGACTCAGCAAACACACCAGGATAGAAGATTTGATATCATCAGCAGGGGTGGCTGAGCAGCAGGTCACAGGGAAGTCTACTACTTCATCATATGAAACATGATTCTCTGAGTGACTCTGTCACAGTGGAAAACCAAGCCCAGTGATAATTCCTTCGAGTTTGGACCCTCGCCCATGCAGGACTCCAGCCCAGTTCTACAAGCAGGTCTTCCACAGGCACATGTTAACTGGGTCAAATTGCACCAAGAGGCTGTTAAACCCGGATAAGACACAACACAGAGATGCTAATTTTTTGGAGCACGATGTTCCCAAACAAGCTTTATTTTGCATTCAAACAAAACAAGCTCAAATCTGAAGAAAAAGAGGAAAACTGACGTCAACTTCCTTTTCATTTTCTTCCGTTCTTATGTAAGCGACGTAACCACCCTCCCCATTCTTCAACTCTCCAGACACACAGGCCATATGAGGGATATAATTGCCAGAATAAAATGAGTCAGCTCTCCTTCTGCTCCTCCAACGTCACAGAGGCGTACATGACATCCACCTCCCTCACAACATGAAAATAGACACACTGCTTATTTTATATTTTAGAAAGGAAGACAACTACGCTCGTCTGAGCTGTGATGCCTTGAATGACGTTGTAGTCAATGTGCAGGTGGTGTTATAGTTATCTGTTGCTCATCTTTTAGGTCATTATTTTTTGTTATATCATGAGGATAAAGCAGGTCAGTGCAGGGAGATGATCACATGCTGAATGTTTATTCTCATTATATCTTCTGATTAAATGAATTTCTATGTAGTCGTACACATGGTTAATATCAATGTGCCTGTTGTGAAATAACTATTATCGACGCTTGCAGCATAACCGCAGCATCCACAAATTCCTCTGAATCAATTACACACTATTAGACTGCAGTTATGTGGCAGCTGCAGTATTTATAAGGAATGCAGCAGCCACATCTGTAGTTTGATGCAGTGCCTAAAATGTCTTTTTGAAGCTGTAACACATCAAGGTGCTTTATGTGTCCGGCAAGCAGGGTCATTCCTAGAGTGCACAACCTTCTAATGACTTAACCTTTGCTGAACAGCCTCCAAAGAACACACACATTTACAAAGGTCAAATTCAGATCCTGGAAATGGTGATTAACACATATTACACTGAATATGACACAGAAACACACATTACTAGAAGTCTGTGTCATGGTTTTACCACATATCAACACAATTAAAAATGATACCGTGCAGTTGTCTATTGTTATTGTAGTTGTTATTTAGCATTAGGCAAAGCCACAATATATTAAACAAAAACAAAGAATCCCTCAAGGTCCAATTTTCTCCATATTCACATTCCTCAATCACCATCCTAATCCAAGCCGTACACACCTTTATAAAAACCTACACTAAAGACACATTATGAATTAATATGCTTCATATTATGGATAAGATAACTCATTTGTTGGGACATAATAACCTAATACATCCTGCTGTAGCCAATCCAAAGCTGTCAGCAGGGCGGAGGAACACAATATATCGTCTTGTTAAATGACAGAGACTGAGTGGAGGACCGGACCGGTATCGACGCGCTATTTATTTTCATTCCATGTCAGTGTGGTGGGTGGTGAGTTAACCTTGGCCACACGACCCCTGCTCTCTCCCTGGTAAACGCGGGTAAATGACTGCACAGACAAAAGACCTGCGTGCATGCGAGAGGCAGAATAATCCGGACACAGCACAAGAAGACGTTAAAGCAGAGATAATGTCAGCCAGTGTGGAGATATGACAGGGCCTGTTCGAGCAAACACAGTGCGCAGTCCGGTGGTGCCACTCGCTCCTGTCTCGGCTCCATACGAACGATCGCTGTGCTACAAACTGAACCGACCCTCGGTGAAGTGTTCTGGGTAAGAAACTACAATGTAAGACGCTTAAAACAACGGCCGACACGGTATGAAGAGCGTGCACACAAACACACACACACACACAGAGACATGCGACCCTCCCCCACGACCAAACAATGAGCAAGTCCGAGGAGCGGAGGTGCGGATCCTCATCTTACCTCCTGTCATCCAAACCGAGGCTGTAGCTATCGCCCCGCGGTCTGATCGGCGGAGCAACGTCTCTGTGCGGCGGACCTGTTTGTTTGTTCCGCCGGTGGAGGATGATTTATTCCGTTGTGCGGCTTAAAAATACATGACCTCACCACATTCACTTGCCTACGTTTCCATCTGGCTGCTACTGACAGGCCAGGACGCGCAGTGCGCACGGGGCATGCGTCCCAGCAGCGCGTCACTCATCCGCTGAGACACACCCACCACCTCTTCCATCCATCCCTACTTCCTTCCGCCTATCTATCTATCTATCTGTCTATCTGTCTGTCTGTCTATCTATCTATATTTCTATCTATCTGTCTGTCTATCTATCTATATTTCTATCTCTCTATCTGTATATCTATTTAACTATCTATCTATCTATCTATCTGTCTATCTATCTATCTATCTATCTATCTATCTATCTGTCTGTCTATCTATCTATTTTTCTATCTCTCTATCTCTCTATCTATCTGTCTGTCTGTATATCTATTTATCTATATTTCTATCTATCTATATAGATAGATATATTTCTATCTATCTATCTATCTATCTATCTACCCACCCATCCAGCTTTATGATTATGATTTAGTTATCTTCTCTCAGCCCTGGATAGGTTTCAACCTATTGGCCATATTTCTGTTTGACAATACACATATTAAATGTAAGAAACATTTACAGTAATGTTGTCATTATAATTTCTAAAGTGTAGAGAGGTATTGTCAGAATGGTTTATGAATCACTGAGCACTCTAGTAAACGAGTCTTTCACATCTTCTCTTTAAACCAACATACTCTGAACATGATGCCTGTGCATCACAGTGTCCTTGCTGCAAAATCCTTCACAGAGGGAAATGGAAGGACAGCTGAATGTCCACATAAAGGACACATACAGTGAAGCACATTCAATAGCTTCATGCAATCAAAGGTGGAACTGGAGCTGGACTTGAATGATCAATGGTTACTGAATATGTTTCATCCATCAGTGGAGATGATGGTGAAACAGGTTTATGATCATTTGGTCGAGACAGCAACTTCATATGTCTCCAAGTCCTATACTTCTGGTACTACTACTAATAATAATAATACTAATACTAATACTAATACTACTAGTAATTTTTTTTATTGTTATATTATATTGAGACATTGTTTGTATATGTCAGTATACATGTGATTAATAAAACAAAACTGGTTAACTACTGTCATAGTTAATAATTAGAATAACTAATCAATCATATTTACAATGCTCTAGTTTTCATTTCCGTCTGTTTCCAGGATAAACATCGATGCTGCAGTGATAATATAGATTATTATTAGTCTATAATTGCATGATCATTGTCACCAGAGCAATATTTGGCATCTCTGCCTCTGTGCATCCCCGGCCCTTATCACACTGTGGGATCACTATTGGACTACGGCACTCACGGGCTCTGCAGAAAACCATAGCGTAGTAGTTAGAGTACCATCCAGAGTTGATCCATCACTTCCTATATGCGCGCCACAGCACCGAGGGAATGGTCCGTGTGTCTGCGGAGCACATGCTCTGCGCGGGCATGTGACTGGACGAGGACAGGTAAAATTACATTAACTTAGCGCTGAGTGGTTAAGATTCTCCCCGCAGCCACCTGACAGCCCGGGATGCCTGTTATTTATCCTTGTCCCTGCGCAGATACCCCGGGGCCTGCGGGGACAAGCTGCGCGCAATAGACGCGGGATAGTGGCATGGATAAAACGTCCCAGTGCCGACTCCCGCAGCGACGCACGGCTACTACGGATCCTTACCCCTTGTTCGAAGAGAGACCGCAGTGTTATGATCATTGTTGGAGGTGGAGGGGGGGAGCAGTTCGACTGCAGCAGGCTACTACTCCGCCGGGTTCGGCTTGGCTCGGCCGAGGTCGTTCGTCCTTCCCAGGCTTCTCCGTAGCGCACCCACCGCCGAGGCTCCACAGCACCTTCGGGCGTCAGACGGATTAGGCAAATCGGTGTAGCTGATCTCACGCAACCCGCTATTGGTGGCTCTGACCTGTCGCTGTCAAACCGCCTGGCTAAATCCAATTAAGTGTTTAAAGGCGAGAAGCTAAGAATAGCGCCAATTACAGTAAAAAGTTTCAGATCCTCAGCGTGGTGCTGCTGCTGCTGCTGCTGGTGGTGGTCATAGAGCAGATGAATGGGGCACCATGTATAGTTCATGTCACTGATGAATTGCCTGCCTGAGAGGAGCTGCCTTCACTGAGAGGACGTCAATACAGCGATGCCATGATCAGGAGGATTATTTTGGATCCGTGGAGGGAGCACTGAAGATAAAACACAGGATCGGACACAGGTTACATTTGGTACCAGGTAGTGTTTCCATTCTTTACCACTCTCCTCCTGTAGTCCTCTGTGACAGTTTGGCGGATCGAGGTGGGTTGTCTCCATGTTCAGATGCATTAATCCTGCAAACTACTTCACTTTTAACTCAAGCTTAATCCTGACAGGGCTGTTGTAATGACATGTACCTTTAAGAGCCATAGAATGCATAAGTAGTAGCCTTAGTATCCAGGCCTGTGAGGACATACATCCACCTTCCTAAAATGTGATGTTTGTAGGAGGCTGCTGGTGCTGTAGCTGCACGAATTTGGACTCTGATGATAGTAGTGTAGTGTCCATATACTGTCATGCTTTGTTATGTCAAGGTGGGAATTTCTTTTCACCTTGAAGTGAGACAGAAGGTTGTGAGACAGGAGACCTAGATCCTGAAGAAGCTGTTGTCCCACATTTTCTAGAATATACAGCACAGCTTCTCCTCTGTCTGTGTCTCCGTCATGTGATAAGAAACGTGGTCTATAACTGGACAAGTTGTTGACTGGAGATAGACGTGTGTTTTGTGTTTTAGTGAACAAGGAGACGCAAACTGTGTTTATGCAGAGGCAACTGGTGTGCAGATGAACATGTGATTATTACATACTAAAAATAGATGATGTAATATAGGAAGCAGGAGAGGTCAGACTCAGTCTAGCCAATGGACACATCCAAATGTGCATATGGATATCACCCACCCAGCAGCCCCTCCCGCCAGGAATCCAGTAACACATGACAGACTGGTGTCGATGTAAGTGGTAACCAGTTGCTAGGTTGTTGGTTCCCTGCCGCATAGTAAGTCTCATAACATTACATTACATTTCAAACCACTAGATGGGCGGGATGGAGGGGTGTTTTCTTTCTTCTTCAATCCCTTCTATCGCACCAACAAACCATGCAGTGTTGAGTGATGCAGGATAATCTTATCATCACTATTAGTTTAATCAGTGATTTAAATTGCCCGGTTTAGGAGACCCCATAACCTCCTCATTTAAGAGGTTGTTGTTTTGTTCTGCAACAAGTCTAATCTTCCGAGGCTTTGCTCGTGTTCGCTGGAAAATCTGGTTGTCATGAGCTGAGGATAACATCAGGTTCAAGTGAAGGATTTATTCAGGTCTCAAGTAACTAAAGTAATTGGGTTGGTTTGCATCAGTGGGAGCGTCTTGCTTCGTTCAGTATGGGCTTCACTTCACTGCTTCATAAGCAGCGAGCAGAAACCTACTGTATTGTATTACTGAAATATTCAGAGGAGAAGGGAAAAAAAGAAGAACAGATCCGATGGAATGAAAAGCAGGACGGTTGGGTTTCTCAGACTTTAACATCCACAAGAAACAGCCAGATTCTGCCTTTTGTTTGTTTGAGAAAACTGAGGTGAACGCATCAGCCCAAAAAGAAGACAATTTTTACTAAAAGTATCATCCCCATGACATCAAAACTTTTACCCAAGGTCGGAAATGCTGAAAAAGATTTCTCAGACTCACTTCTTTCTGCCGCCTGAGCACTAACTTCACTTAGTAGTTGCCTCAAAGTTCCACAGTAATAGTATTCCAGACATCTTCCACAATGACGACAAATTGCTTTCAAGTCCAGGTGTTGATTGATAAAACAATGTGCTGCCCAGATTTACAACAATGCACAGTCTTCTAGAACAATAGTTGAATGTGTTTTCTCTCAACGCAATGATCTGAACCTGTGAAATCCACACTTTTATCTCATCTAACATGTTTTAATAGTAAAAAAAAAATCTTACAGACTGTCTTATTAAAGATTAGCTGATTATCAGTTCATTTTAAGATTTTAAGAGCTAAATATATAATATTGTGCATAAGATAATGTGTATAAAACTATATGATTGATGCGTTGGAGAAAAAGCTCGGCTTTTCATAGATCGTAATCATTCTGTAAGCTCAGCTGAGTTCCCCCCCTCCACATTCTCAACTGGATATAGTTGGTGGTAACACACAGTATGTGACAGTGAGCTAACATGGGATCATGACACACTGTCTTTGGTGCCAGAAAGCGTTGCTCCCTCAGAACCACCCTCAGGTCAGATGAAAGCCTATTACGAATGGGTGGGGCAGAGAAAGAGGCAGTAAGACTAACAGACTAAGATAATCTAATCAGAGTCCAGTGCAGAGGACTGTGTTTTTTTTCTGTGAAGTTTTCTGAGCTTTCATCTCTAAAAATTGCTGTGATGACAAAATCCCAACTGACAATAAGAGCAACAGTTTCACAGAGTTGTGACGAAGTAGAAGTGTTACAGATTCACCCAGCAAAAAAAAAAAAAAAAAAACTCAATATAGAGTAGTCCACTATATATTGTTTTCATGTGAAAGTCACATAAGACATTTGCTCACGGACATAGAAAAAGCCATAAAAATGAAACCTGTCTTTCAGGATATTGAATAATTAGTGCTATTTTGGGTTTGCACATGTGTGTGTCCTCTGTGTGCAGGAATGTGTGCAGGATGAGCAGCACATTTGTCACATTAGCTGAGGTACTGGAGGCACGAGGGGGACCTCTGCTGGAGGAGGAGGTCTGGTCCCTGCTGCTGGGCACTGCAGAGTCTTTAGTGGATGTCTCCTATAAGGGTAAAGGACTTTCCATATCCCTTTGTATTGCACGCCATGTTTGAATGTTATCAGCCTACCCCAATGTCAATACACTATAAACATTCAATCAACATCCTGCAGTTCTTCAGATTCCCTCAATGTGACTTCTCCACAGCACTGTATCAGCAGCATCATTAAATATTATATTACTCTTCTTTTAGGCCACAACAATATGTGTAACATCATAAGCCCCACCTCCTTGCTGCTGTCAGCCACTGGTACCTTAGCATTTAAGAACTGCGGCCTATCAGACGACGTGTCCACCTTCACTGCTCCGGAGATGCTGCAGGGCCGTGCCAGCTCAACCAAACCTGCCATAGAGAGGGTCAGTGCTCACATCTTCCTCTCTGTGCAGAGGCCTCATGTTAAAGCTGATCACAGACTTGTCAAACACCAAAGAGCATCATATAACACAGGTTTTTTTATGAGCAGTACCTCTAAACCCATGCAGCAACTTGAATTGATTACAGTTCATTTCCTGATGTGATTTATTCCTTGGTGTGTAATATCTCAGGATGTCAGGAGTTGCAGACTAAGGTATAATTTCGCCATCTAGTGGCCGAGCAAAGGAAACTCTGTCCCCCGATTCTGCACTTCAGCACCCAAAGTTATTAAATCAAGTTGAAAAAACTCTGAAATAACTTATAAAATAAACATAAATGTGTCCATACAGGAAAGTAATCAAATGCCTTGTATTTCCATTGATTTGTAATTACAACATGCAATATTTGTATAATTCAGAGATAGAGAAAGTAGACTTTTAAAGCTGTAGCATATATCAACCTGTGTACATTAAACATGTGACATTTAGAAATAAGAATATTGTTGCCTTTTACTTGATGGATTTCTAACCTTTTCAAACAGCAATTGACATAATGTATAATGCTTAAGTTATTGTTTAAACATTGAAGACACCCAGTGTAAACTATTTGACCAACAGACAAAACATTTTTATGAACCCAACTTGTCCTTAATCAGTTCATTTTGTTGCACAGATGCTGGTGTATTCACTGGGAATGACTCTCTACTGGTCAGTTGATTTTCATCTACCTCAAAATCAGGTGGGACACCGGTAAACAATGCTGTGATATTTTACTATCATCTGAGTCTCACTCAGACTCAGTTATAATTATTTCTCCATGTTCATTCACCTCAGCCAGTCCAGTTGAGTGACCATCTGAACAGCCTCCTCCTCAGCATGTGTGAGGACCTGGCCCACCGCAGGGTCAATCTCAACTCTATCCTGGAAGCCTGCGAATCTCAGCACAAAGCCTCCGTCCTGCCGTCGCCCACCAAAGTCATCCGACTGCTGGTGGAGGAGGTTTTTCATGAATCAGTGAGTCTAGATATCTAAGTGCGCTTCAGCTTCTTTGAAGGTGTACCAAATCAGAATCTTTGGAAGGACAAACAATGTTTAAAAATTACTTTAACCAGTGGTGGTTTCTTTTCCTCCAGATGGACCATGGAGGCTCTTTGCCAGACAGCAATGTCCCTTTGAGTGGCAGGAGCCAGATGATCAGAGAGAGACTTCATGGTGAGTCCAGTACAAGTGATATCACATAAAGAAACAGAAACGATACTAGTGTAATTTCCCCACTCTAGTCTCTTATTCTGGGATATTTGGCAACATAATAATAAACGTATATGTATTGCATGGGATTATCCTGTTTCTCTCAATTACTTCTATCAAGTTCGGCATTATAAACAAATCTGTGAAAATGAAACTATCACTTCTATAAAATAGCTGTCGTAATTGTGCTTTTGACTCAAGATAGTGTACAGGTCAACAGGATTAAAATCTTAACCCAAAGCAAGCCCAGGATTAGGGTCCTGTGAGAGCCAATAATCAGATACTGAGTGTGGATGCTCCCAGCTAAAGCCTCTGCCTCAGTCCCAGCTCTGTAAAAATGCCTCAGCATCTTGGTAGAGCTCAGAGACGGACAGGAATCAAACATTGCTGTCATCTCTTATCTCTTACCTGCTTGACAGGGAAGAGAGGGCCATATTCAGACGTCAGCGAGGGCAGTCCGGAAGGGAGAAGATACTCGACAGACTCTGACTCAAAGTCAGGTACGCAGAGGGAACAGAAACTGGAAAGAAGGCTGCCAAAATAATTTGTCTTGTGTATCTACTTAAAAAAATGTAAACTATGATGTGGGATTTAATCCTTTGCTATTAAATGCAAATTTTTATACTTAATGTATTTACCCCAACAGTAAGGTGCTTAATCTGACAACGTGCTCATTTTATGTGATTTTAGGGAGTTTATCTCAGAGACCTTGGAGACAAAGACCAAGGAGCTCTCCCACACCATTGTACCAATCCTCTTTTGACAGGTATGTTGTATATATTTACACACCCATACACATTGACCATGGTTACATGGACAACAGTATTCTGACTGTTGGCCTCATATTAAATAAGACAGTATTTAGTATATTTATGATGTTTACATAAGTTGCTGATAGAAGATTCCTTTTTTCACATTTTCAAGAGCACATATTGCACTTGTTGTTTACATGTTGATGTCAAGCATTTGGTAACTGATGAACATGCTGCAAAATGCTGCAAAAACTCCATTAGGACTTTATAATATGCTGTTTACAAGGCACAGACTCATGTCTTTACAGGTTGATATGGGAATATAACTCTCCATGTAAACATGGTTACTATCACTGTCAGGACTGTAGAGGATTCTTCAGCTTCAGAGTTATTGTATATATATACGTGTACGTATCAGCAGAAGCAAATCCATATTTCATTTTACCCTCTCTCATTGTCCGTTCTACCTTAGAGGCGGACATGACATTGTCTCAGAGTTTAACTTTTCCAACTGGCCTGCACAACTATCACAGCGTCCTTCCCCCATCTCCCTCTCCTCTCCTTTCTCTTCCCCTCTCAGACTCCCTCGCGGGGTTCGCCACAGGGACAGTAACAGCAGTTGGCTTGGAAGGAGCCCCCACCATGACGTCTCTCCCAAAATATCAGGCAGATCTCACAGTCCCTCCATCACCTTCAGTGAATCCTCACTCAGCCTGAGCCAGAGGAAAGCCAAGGTAGGTGCAGAGATAAATTAATGATGTAACTGTGCGTGTTGTTGACCTGGATTGCAAGCATAGCGTCTGTGGTAGGGATACTGCAATACAGTATTCAGGTGAACTAGGGTGGAGTTTTTAGTGAAGCATAAGAGTCGATTGTGTTGGTGCTTATAAAAGTTGTATTATAAATGTTTATTTTGTCAGGCTTTGGGTCCTGAATTCGTAAGAATGGCAGATGAGCAACAAACTGTTCTCGAGCTTCCAGGATCCATTGTGGTAAATTCATGATTTCCTCTGCTTCTATCTGTTTCTGATCAGTTTTAATGTACTGTTTTTCACACTATTTTTAACTTGTCTCTTCTTGCATGCTGAACTATGTCTGTTTGCATAACTGCATGTGCAGTATTTTATATATCCAGGTGCATGCATGTGAATGTTGGTAGTGGGTCTTTTTTATGTGCATGTGTGTCAGTGTGTTTGTGCGTGTACATCACAGTCCAGAAAGGGCCGTTCATGTTCGTCTCAGAGAGAGGTGACTGTGGTGCTGCCTAATGGACAGTACGTGGTGGTCCGCTGTGACATTAAGTCCAAAGCAAGAGATGTGTTTGACATGGTGGTGGCTCATGCAAACTTGGTGGAGCACTTCTACTTTGGTCTTGCCTTCCTAGATGGTAAGGGACATACTACATGGAACCTATAACCTTGATTGCATTCGTTGCACATCAAGAACATGCAAATTAAAAATCATTTCAAAATATTCATAATCCAACGAAAATTATGCCCTCACAACTGCCATGAAGGGTGAAAGCTTTAAGACCATTTTGTTTAGAAGTTTCTTCTTTTTATTCTGCAGATGATGAATATTTCTTTTTGGACCATGAAACAAAAATCTCCAAAGTTGCACCAGACAGTTGGAAAAAAGGGCAGATATCCTCCTTTTTGGTGTTTCTTCGCGTGAAATTTTTTGTTGATGACATTTCCTTCGTTTTGTAAGTACAATCTAACCATTCAGAGTTTACTATACATTGTTCCAAAAAACATTTGCTGCTTTCCACTTCAACTTTATTCCTGTATCTTAGGCACAGACTGACTCGGCACCAGTACTACTTACAGCTGCGTAAGGATATCATGGAGGACAGGCTTTACTGCAACGAGGAGACAGGCTTGTTCCTCGCTGCTCTCGCTCTGCAGGCGGAGTTTGGGGAATACATGTCAGAGGTACCAAGGATAAAAACCAACCTTTTATATTTGAACACCAGCGTCATCTATGAGAGGTTGTGACAGCGGCGTACTTGGTTCTTTTTCAGTTGTATGGCAAGAATTATTACCAGCCAGAGCATTATGTGTCCACGAGAATGCTGGAGAAGCTGGCCCTGCCCAGTGTCAAGGAGGAGTTGCCAAGACTACATGCAAGTCATGCCCAGATGCTGCCCGAAGAGGCAGAAACAGAGTATCTAAAGGTAGCTAGACTGCTAATGCATCTACTCACACAAAAAAACTGATTCCACAATCGAGGGTCCCACTTTCTCCATTGCAATTTTTTGTTTCTAAAAAAAGGCCAAGTTTATGAAACCGTAACTGTTGTTTGCCTTAATTTTGATGACACTCCAATTGTTACATTCCTGTAATTCTGACGTCTGCTAGAAGAAGCTACATTTAAAACTGTGTGCCTCTCAGATTGCCCAGCAGTTACCTGAGTATGGGGTTATGTTCCACCGAGTGGGGAGAGAGAAAAGGCCATTGGTGGGAGAGCTGGTGCTGGGCATCTGTGTCAAAGGAATCATTGTGTACGAGACGAAGAACCACATGCGCACGGTCATCAGGCGTTTTCTCTGGAGGGAAACTGACTCCATATCCACTGGGGTAAAACTGCTAGAGGCCTCTCTGTCAGAGTTTGCTGTGTGAGATATTCATTTTGTCATGAAGCTCAAAGTAAATTTACGATGTCTGTCTTCCAGCGGCGTAAACTGATAATCGAGTGCGGTGGGCCCAGTGGGAAAAAGCACAGTTTTATAACAGAGAGCTCAAAAATAGCACAGTACCTCCTGAACCTTTGCTCGGCACAGCACAAGTTTCACAGCGAGATGACGTCACGACAACTTAACCATACCATGATACCAGGTGGGAACATTTTAGTAACTGTGTCGATTGGGATTGAAATGAGCACACAAAGGTTACAGTCAAGATTTGTCTTCTGTTTCTGTTTCTGTTTCCAGATGAACATTTAGACAAGTACATGTCTGTCTACCGGGGTCGTAACTTGAACCTGAAGCAGATGTCCTGCTCGGAGGGCATGTTGAACCATGTAGGCCTGACACCTGGTCAACCAGACCTCTCCAAGTCCTGTGACGACCTGACAGCCAAGCTGGAGGCTCGACTCCGCCAGCAGAGAGAGATGAGGAGAGAGATGAGCAGAGAGCTGAACAAAGAGCCCCTGGAAACAGGAGAGCTCAGGGAGATGAAGGATCAACAGTGTTGGAGGTAGCACTTGTCAATGTTAACATTTATATTATCTTATTACAGAAAAATAGTAACAGAGATTGACTAAATGCAACTTTGCATGTGTTGCAGCGCTCCAGAGCCGATTCCCAGAATGATGTCCAGTGTTTCTCTACAGAAGCAAGACTCTGATGCCTCTTCCTCCGTACGAGGTGGATACCCAAACTCATCTCCTTTTGTAAAACACACACAGAATTCTAGAATGGCACACAGTAGAGAGCATACCTCCACCAAGGCCCAATAATTCCCTTAAGTTCTAACAAACTGCACACACGTATAACTAGTAGTCCTCTAAATATTCCACATTTTTTTCATCAAGATCCCAAACATTATTATGAAAAAATGTCTAAAAAGCCCAATCTCACAATGTTAAAGAAAAATTGTTTTTGCATAACCTTGCTTACAAACCAACCAACCAACAAACGTTCAGGGATGAAAGCATAAGCACCAACCACTGTTGTCTCATCACAAGCCTCCTGAACAACTTTAATCACATAGAAGTGATTTTCATTTTCAAACCATTCAAGGGCCCCTCATGAGCATATGTATCTGCATTTGTTACATTAATTGATATGATTGACCCGATCCAGCCAGCAGGGGCCTTTCTGTGTTGTTTGCATGTATTTAACTATGTTGTTAAGTCTTATGCCACTGTCCAAGACATAAGGAGAAGGTGATTTGGAATTAAAAAATTCAAAGGATCTAAAAAGTCTGAAGAAAATATAAAACAAAAGAAAATCTATAAATACATTTACAGTGGCCTATTTATCATTATTCTAACATGTACTTTACAGTTGATACACCAACCAGGACCCCACCAGAGAGAGAGATAGTCTGTGTGACCCTGAAGAAAGATCCCAAACTGGGCTTCGGTGAGTTCATCAAGCCGGACTTAGCTGTGAACTGTGATGTCAAATTAATGATTCTTTAACAGGAGACTTTTGTCTTCCTCTCTGGTCCTGTTTCAGGCTTTGTGATCGTGGGAGAGGACAATACGGGTAAACTTGACCTTGGGATCTTCATAGCTTCCATTGTACCTGATGGGCCTGCGGACAGAGATGGACGAATCAAACACGGTAAGGAGCCGCACCATCACATGAGGACTGGAAACACACATGCTGGCTTTTTGTAGCTTAACATGTCAGCCACCAACAAGGATTTTATAATAATTAGTTTGTTTTTCTTTTAGGTGGACGTCTCATCTCTCTTAACAAGACTAGTTTGGAGGGAGTGACATTCAGTGATGCTGCTGCCATCTTACAAAACAGCCCTGAAGAGGTGGAGCTCATTGTGTCCCAGCCTAAACGTAAGTTCTGCTCAGCGCTGCATGCACTGTCTGAAAAGTCTAGTTATGCTAACATTCAAGCACATACCTCTGCCAAGGCCCAATAGTCCCCTTATATTCAGTCAAGCTCCAGTCCACTAATAACCCTGATTTTTTAAAATCAAAATTCATGAAATATTCCCTGGTGAATCAGTGAAAATGTTAAGAAATAAAACCCGTCCTATCTCGCAAATTCCTGGACCCGCACCAGTTTTTGCATAATCTTGCTTATAAACCAACAACTAAACAGAGGTGAAACCAACCTCCTTGGTGGAGGTATTCATTATCAACCCAACACATGCTGTATGGTAGTGACACTCATACTGACGTCCAGTTGTTCTTTTATCAGAGACTCTGAGAGACCTAAGGAGTTCCTTGAGTCAAAGTACAATGGGTTTGTCTTTGGAGAAGAGCTTTGGGTCACAGACCACACTGAGCGGCACAGAGTACCGTCCGGCCATGGAGGAACTAGAGGAGGCCATCAGTCTGTCCAACATGGCGACCCCGAAGCAGAACAGGAGACTTCACATTCCTGTCGTGAGAATACACGACGCACAGGTCAGAGCCAGCTCTCAGCTACAGCAACAGTTCGAGATACGTGACTTTGTTTCTACAAAACAATTCAACATGTGATCAGAGCTGATAAGTCTTCAACCAGTGCTAATTGATAAATGCATTAAGTGCTCTGATTAATGTGAGACAACTTGTTTTTCAGGATGTGTGTTCCAGGTCTCCCTCAATCATTAGTCTGAAAACCAGCGAGCGGTTCATAGTGGAGCTAATGAAAAGCAGTGGCAGTCTCGGCATCAGCGTTGCAGTGAGTGAATCAATGGAGTTTATAGCATTTGTCCCTCTCTATACGAGTTTCGGTTGATTCTGGTTTTCTCTGCTCCTCACTATAACTAAACAAGTGGAAGAAGGGAAGCTGAAACACTGCTACTGTCTTTAGATAGAGGGTCTTCTGTCCCATGCAATGTTGGCCTTTAAAAAGTTAATTTCGGCCGGAACAGTGACATTGTTCCTTGTCTTGCATCGGCTCAGCCAAAGCGATTTACAGGACTAACTGGGAAAGGCCAATACAAGTTAGGATGCTAAGTAACTTGGATCCTTCCCCATGGAATCAGCAGTGAGGTTATTTGAGGCCATTTGCAACGCTGACAAGTTTGTTTATAATCTTTTTTGCCAAAAGGGAGGAATAAACACCAACGTGCGTTATGGAGGCATCTACATCAAGAGTCTGGTGCCAGGGGGCGCTGCAGAGCAGGACGGACGCATTCAGATTGGTATGATTATCTTTATCATGACACATTCTTTACCATTGTTGTTTGGTGGAGTTTGTACGAAAGGGCGTAAAGATTTTTCGAATTCTTTGAAAAGAATATAGAATAACTGATTGTGGATTGTGCCCATGCTCTGTAAAATGAAGGAGTAGTAAAGCTGTTCACTTTCTCTTTTTTTACTTTGTGTATTCTGTCAGTAATATGTCTGTTCCACTGGAGCATTGATGTGTCTGTGTTTGCTAGGTTCATGCTTCAATGAGCAAGAGCGACTGTTGAATTTGTTGATGTGCCCGTTAGACACAGACACACACAGACACACACACACACACACATACAGACACAGACAGACATACACAAAAACGTTTATGTTTTGATGTCGCTAATGATGATGAGATTTGCGTTTGTGCATATGACAGGTGACAGACTGCTGGAGGTTGACGGAGCCAACCTGAGGGGCGTGAGTCACCATCAAGCTGTCGAGTGCCTTAAGAGGACTGGGGAGGTACACACATACACACACACACGCACAAACATATGCAAACATGCACATGCAGAACAACACAATTACAGAAAAAATATACTTTGCTGTTATGATTATTATCAGTACAGTGTGACTGTCATCTCCAGGAGAGACTGCTTTGAACAACATACAGAGATACGTTGACATTTATGCCTCAAGTCTTGTTCTGGTCCTATTTCCCATCCACATTAAATATTGATTTTCTTCCAGGAATCAATTTTTGAATAACCTTAGTGCAGTAGTTTTGGTTACTTAGGTACTGTATATCATATATAAGACTGTATTGTAACTGTATCATCTTTGTACTACACTATTGTGTGTGTGTGTGTTTGTATGCATCTTATTCCCCCATAGGTGGTAAACCTGCTGTTGGAGAGGGAGCCCACAGTAATCTTGGAGCCCAGACCTGACTCACCCTGCCCCCCATTAGTCCACAGTCCGTCACACACGCAGCCCCCCAGGACCGAGGTCTCCGTGGAAACGACCTTGAGTGGTCGAGCCAAGGACTACAGCTTTGTGACGGATGGTGAGAGGGGAGATGAAGGGGCAGATACACTCACAAAGAAAAAAAAAAAAGAAAAGAGAAGATCGACAGCGTCAGGCACACACACACGCACACTCACTCACACTCACACACACACTCGCACATATAGCCCAGAGGTGACTGTGAGTCATCTGACAGCTACATTGTGGTTGCTGTCAGAGTCTGACGATGCCTCAGTCCCTTGAGACAGCGTGTGCTGAAAACTTGAAGCTGCCTGTTCAGCTTAGTTAAAGGAATAGTTTCCTTATTCCTATACTGGAACTCAAAGAAATGTGAGGCAAATTTTGAAAAGACAAATTTACTTCTTATAAGAAAATAATTCCACAAACATTTGTCTGTCTATAAATGGAACGCACATCTCGTGAACCGCTCATATTATTGACTTCACACTTGACGTGTGTTTTGTTAATTGACCAGGGGAAGTGCAGTGCCATGTTTAATACAGTTTGGGCATGCAATATGTTCAATATCAATAATATTTGAATAACTGGTGCTCTGTAGCGTTCAGTGGGGGCGAGCTAGTGTGCCATCAGTCTGTCGCCTGAGTTGAACATGTCTTCAGTATCTGTCCTGCCAGATAATTTTGATATTTTTTTTATTTGTATTTCACCATACAGACAGTCATTCACCTGTGTTGCGAGTACTGGTCTCCACCATGGCAGCAACATTCATAGAATCACTTCCTCTTTAGCAAGTTCAAAGTAGTACTAGAGCACTGGAATAGTCTTTTTTTATAAATCACAATTTCGCAAACCTGAACTCACATTTACAGATTAATGATTACGTAACACACACACTAATTCCACAAGTCTCCTCACCATCTCTTTCCTTTCCCAGAAAACACACATGAAGTTGTGTTAAAGAAGAGCCTCTCCGGCCTCGGCTTCAGCTTTTACATCTCACAGCTTAAATCGGGGCAAGACCGAGGCAGCGTCGTCCGCATCAAGCGCCTGTTCCCGGGTCAGCCGGCGCTGGAGAGTGGCCTGCTGCGAGAGGGGGACGTCATTTTGTCCGTCAACAGGGAGCCTGTAAAGGACCTCTCTTACCAGGTGGGATATTTTAGAATGATCCTTAATCCCTATGTATTTCTACCTTTGAATTAACAACCACATTCATAAACATTTCTGCTGTGGTTTTGGTTTCGTTAGATCGTTTTTCTAAAAAAATTGTAGCCTGGTTTATAAGGTGTTAACCACAACCTTAAAACCATTCACACTTTGGGCCCTGATGGCAGCACAGTAGGGGATTTCATCTGTGGATAAATGATAATCATGAATGGGCAGGGAGGTGTGTGAGCAGCAGTTTGAACCCTGCTGTTTCTCAAGGTCTTGTCTGTGTTATTTAGTTCACTAATCCTTTAATCCCATAGTACTGGAAATAGCATGCTGGTTGTGTCATAGCATTTGATGTGTCATTTAACCTTTTGTGTACTGCCAAGGAGTTACAGCGGAGCATTTAAACATACAGCAGTTTAATAGATTTGCAAATTTTGAGTCTGTCTTGAGGTCAGATGGTGTCACAACATACACACATACACACATTACATTGATTTCCTGGAGACTACTTTAAACTTAACCATACGCCTTACCCTAATGTTTTACATTACAGGGACTTGATTTTGTCTCAATAAGGAAGACACATGTGACGGTGTAAATAACATGAGTTATACCTGGACCCACTTTCTCTTGTGTTGTTTCAGAGGGTTTTGTTCTTGTTGCGTGGAGCTCCGTCTGAAGTTCATCTGCTAATTTGTCGACCAGGTCCTGGATTGCTATATGATGTAGATGGCAACACACTGGTGAGCTCATGTGTACAAACTTACTGTATATGCACAAACACAAAAAAACAACACCTAAGTTCAGCTGAGTGACCCTAACACATTGTTGGACCTCCTGTCTGACTCTGTAGAGTCCTGCGTCCACCCGAGAGGCTCGATCCCACTCTCTGGATATCCGACTAGGAGAGGACTACAGCCAGCTCCTGAAGTTTCAGTATGACGTCAACATAGCTGTCCAGAAACAAGTCCCCACCCAGGAAGAAGATGTAACCATTACTGCAGAGAAAAACCCAGAGCCTCCAGCAGCTCCAGCACTCCCGGAGAGTCTGGACTGTGAAGTGCAAGTCAACCAGACCCCTCCATCACCTCCTCGCTTACCCCCATCACCCACGTCGCCTCCGTCACCAGTCTCACCAGCCTCACCGGCATCGCCTACCTCGCCTGCCTCACATACCTCTGGCTCTCCACCAGCTCCAACAGAGTCGCGACTGACCACTAGGAATCCAGAGGAACAACAGGAAGCGGACAGAAAGGAGAAGAGAAAGGACGACGGAGAGGAGGTTGCAACAACTTCAAGTTCAACTGTGATACTCATGGACGTCTGTCCCAAGACTGCTTCAAACTCTGTGTATGCCAGGTACTGTATCATATAGAGAAAGATGTGAAAACTAACAAATATTATTGCATTGCAGATTTATGGTCTGTATGAAGTTTGCATACAGGGACATGCAGATTGGGGTTAGGTTAACTGGAGACTGTGAACTGACAATACATGTGAATGATTGTTGGTCTCTTTTTGTTTGCCCTGTGATACTCTGATGGAGGTATGCACTCTACTAACTGCCGTTCTAGTTTAATTTGAAGTTAAATTTATTTTTCCTTGTTATGAGTTGAAGTTATTATGCTTTTAAAAGGAATGTTTTGGTAATTTTTATTCTATCTCACTGTTATTTCTCTCCAGATTTAATATCTATAGTATCTATTTCATTTTGTCTTTAGTTGTAATACTTTTGACAAATGTGAAAGCAAAAAATGGAATCAAGTCTGCTTTGTTGTTGGTGGCCATGATGTGTAGATTCAATCAGAGCTCCTGCTGCTCCTCTGTCAATAGGACATAATTTACAATAAAGACAGGAATTTTAAAATCCTTATTTTAAGTAAACTACACTGTGTACGGTTTGTTTATCTCCAGTGGAGTCAGAGAGGAGGCGGATGGAAGTGTGACCTACTGCCTCGTGGGAAATGGGCTGACGATCATGGCAGATGAAGAGTACCTGACCATTAGCTCCACCCTGGAGCCTCCTCATAGCTTTCCCTCCGGCCTGGCCATTCAGACCCCAACAACCAACCTAACAGGCTCTCAAACTTCCAACAGCTCGTCAGGTTTCAGCTCTCAGAATCCAAACCTCAGCCCCCACGTCTCAGCCGCCACCATCCCACCCCTCGGACTCTCAGCTGACACCCCGACCACCTTCACACTTTCCCACCCATCCCAGCCACTCACAACGCAGCCGCCGAAAGCCAAGCATCACCCGATCCAGCAGGGGCTCCTTCCAAGTCACTACAAAGCCTTTTCCGAGAACAGCAGGCCTGTGGTGCCTCCACCCCTGCCTCCTGCTCCAACACAGACCCCAATTACAGCCCAGATCATCCCCTCTGTGCCTCACTGCGTCAGTCCGCCTGCCCAGACGCTGCCACCAACAGTCCTGCCTGCTCCTGCCCAGAGCCACATGCAGCTGAGGGAAGAGCCAGAGAAGAAAGAGAGGGAATACAAAAATGATTATGATGAGGAGGTGGATGATGAAGAGGAAGAGAGTCGAAGAAAGGCAAGTGACATTTCTTAGCTTTCTGGTTCACATTCTCAACTTTGCTAAGAAATGCTATTGACAGCTCATTTATGTAACTTCTTTCAAACACTGAAATAAAGATGATCTTTAGTTTAGCTTCTGAAACTTTGAAAAAAATTGTAGAGACAGAGTTCAAACCAAAGAGGTATTTTTTTATTTACATGTAATTATACAAACATCTACTAGGCATTCATTGTTAATTTGGATGTGCTCATATAGTATAAGTGGATGGTTATTGATGGTGCTTTTTCTATATAAACACAAAATTTGTACTTATTGTATCAGCAACATAAAGATTAATCTACAAGCAGACCCTAAATAACATTTAACAACATGAAAGAATGAAAAAATGAGAACCAGATTTTGATACCAATGATAATTTCTAAAAAGGAAATCTTAAAACCTGCTGTTATACACAATATGATTGGCTAAGGGACACACCCTGGGACTTGATCAATCCCAGTGGTGCTTTCCTCAGGAATGGGTGTTTAGTGAACTTTCTGTGCTCCTCGGGTCCTCTACTGACTGTGTTCTAAAATTTTGAGAAAGATTGTCTCCTGGCCAAAAGCTGCAGTCACAAGTTTTTGACTGTAGACGTAAGCATCCACTGGAGATGTAAGGAATTATTATTGTTGTATATCTATTTGATACATGAATTGTCTGTGTCTTGACTGTCAGGGATTGGTCAAAGAGTTTGAACTGACAGTGGTTTTGACCAAGTCCAGGAGTGGAAGCTTTGGGTTCACCATCACTCGCAGCAAACTGGACAACTGCTACTACATACAGGAGATACTGGACAACCCAGCCAAGGCAGATGGAAGACTCAGGGCAGGAGACAGGCTTGTCACTGTACGTGCAAACACACACATGCACCCAATCGTGCATTCTTGGATGTAAAAAAAAACATTCTCCTATTGTGAGCTGTATATCCATGCTTGACTAGTTGACCGTGCACAACTTCTCCCCTGTCATCTGTCTCCAGGTGAACGGGCATGATGTTACCAGTGTGGCAGATGATTATGCCATGACGATCCTCAGGTCATCTCCGCGAAGACTGAGTATGACCCTGGGGAGGGCGGTGACCAACCTGGTGGCCCCGCCACCCTGCGACAACCTGCCAGACATTGTCCTGTACAAGACACCTTCTGGACAGCTAGGTGCGACACACACTGTCTGACATTCTAAAGACACGGTACATGAAGCTCTTGTCAATCATTTGCACTGAATTGAGTCTATGTGTGCGCACTCCCCAGGTATAAAACTGACAGGGGGCATTGGCAGCAAATGGCAGGGCATCTACTGCCTGGAGGTGGTGCCAGGCTCCCCAGCCAGTGAGGAGGGGAGCGTCCAACCCAATGACAAAATCCTCTACATCTGTGGCAGGTGCACGCTGGGTATGACCCTAGAGGATGCAGTCAAAGCATGCGAGATCGCGCCTCGTAAGGTTAAACTTAAAATCATCAGGTATGTGCCCTCCCGCTAAAAACACAAGCTGAGTGTTTAATTCTGTGAATGACTACGATTGTTTGTGTCTGTCACAGAGAAGACCAGCCGTTGACCCCAAAGGCTAAGTGGAACGGTAAGCTCTGAAGGATTAATGGACGGTTGAGTTAACCCCAAGATAAACAGGACAGTTTGGTTGTTGTATGCACTGATGGATCACCTAGAAACCAGATATGTTTGTGCTCAACTATGATAAGAGAAGTTCAATCATTACCAGAAAGTATTAGAGCTCTGCAAGACAGGAAATTACTTGACTGTAGACATATAGTAACTTAAACATCTTTTTCGTTTGCAGGCCTGTTTGACTGGAAAAAGGACAGGAAATCCTATGCTCGTTTTGAAGAACCCGTCTCTCCAGAGAAAGACTCCCCTACTGAAGAGCGTGAGTTTATTTTCTTGCTCTCTTTTTCTTCTCTCTTTCTCCTCCGAACTCTCTCCATCAGCGTGTTTTATCAGCAGCATAACTGGTTCCCTCCCTGTAGTTTGCTTGTTGTCCCATTGTCTGTGTGTAGTCGGAGCTCGGTGCTGAAAGACAATTCTCTTTGCAACTGTGTGCGTGCGTGTGTGTGTGTGTGTCAGTATGCATGTGTGTGAGATCTGAATGCTGACAGACAGATCCTGGGCTCTCACTGCAGGATTAATAATTACCAAGCCTCTGGCCCTCCACTGGTGTATTGGACTGCACAGCTGAAGGCGTCGTACACACACGCACACACACACACACTGACAGTGCCATACAGTTAGTGGTCTATAGGGCAGGTAGCTCAGTTGCCTGGTGACAGTGCATGCAGCGGTAAGGGACAGTAGAGAGGGTCACTTTGAAAAGGACCAACCTTGTTCACATGTCATACAGGAGACGCACCTATCAACACATCTCTTTCAAAATGGCCGAAGAGGTGGGAGGTTGGTGTGTGTTGTGTCTGTTTCAGAAATTTGAAAATGCCACGATGGAGATTGGTACCGAAGAGAATTTCCATTTTTATCTAAGGACCGAACTGCCGGCTTAACCCCTTATTTATCAATAACATAACTTTTATTAGCCTGGTCAATATTTGTTATATTGGATGCAGTGGCAGGTGTGCTCTTGTCTTCACTGGTCACTGACTATTTTCTTTCTTTTTACAGCTGAAGCTGTGTGCAGGACTGCTGCTAAATTCCGATGTGTCTCCCTCAGCCAAGAACAAGACGTAAGTTTCTGAGCACATTATTGATCTTTGTCCTTCTTTCTGGTGAACTCACTCGTTTTTATCATCTCTTTCCATTTCTATTTATTATTTTCCTGTTACTGCACATCTTTTGAAGTCTGCTGAAACGTACACTGTAACATGAGTCTACTGTGTGTCAATCTGCGAATGCATTCATTGCTGGGGTTGTGGAGGTCACTGTCTGCATGTGTGTGTCGGGCTTTATTTACACCTGATTGTTTTAGGATTTTTGTAGTATGGTATTTTTCTGCATATCATGGTCCTGATCTGAGGCTCTTTTCCTCTGTTGCTGAATCCTCAATATTCTTGTTCTCTTTTCCTTTTTTCCCTGTGCGTCTTTGTTCCTGTAGAGTTGCATCATGCAAGTAGAGTTCACAAAACCAGAAGGAGGAGGTCTGGGCTTTGCTTTGGTCGGAGGGACTAACGGCAGCATGCTCAGAGTGAGGGAAATCTGCTCGGGTGGAGTAGCTGAGCAGGACGGCCGGCTGAGAGTGGGAGATATTTTATTAGAGGTAACCACCCATTATACCTTCTGACTTTTATAACTTTGTTGTCACGGAAAACCCTGATCTTCACTGATTATGTTCCAGGTGAACAGTGTGATTGTTTCGGGCCTGAGCCACAGTAAGGTGGTGGACATCCTCCGTAAAGCTGAGGGCACTGTGCAGCTCACCATCTGCAGAGACATCCTACCACTGACCTACTCAGAGTCACCCCCACCGCCCAACATGTCCGCTCAGACTGAGGCTATTTTAGCTGAGCAACCAGCCTCTGACACTCGCTCTTCACCTGACATCATGGTGAATAGGCCGGTGGAGCACCCGCCTGGTATGATCTCCTATCTTTCCTATTATCATCAATAAGTAGAGAGTGGATCTTGACTACAAAGCTGTCAGCTTCAACTAAAATTAAACTTTTAATACTTTAACAGTAAGACAATGCACTGAAAATAGTGTGAACCCATTTTATACTAGAATGTCACTCAGTAGCACATACCTCTGCCAAAAACCCAACAGTTCCCTCATGAAACCACATTTAAATTAACTAGATCTGGACGTTTGTGTGAAAACATCCTGTATCCACCCCATGTTCCTGATTAGCACCAAAATTGATCGGAGTCTTTTCTGACAACATTCCGATAAATGTGCATCTTTGTCGTTTCAGAGGCGACGTCAGACCCTGTTATCAAAGAAACAACTGTTGTCCTAACGTCACCACCGCCTCCACCGCGCCAACTGACAGTTGTAACAGACGAGGTTGAAATGAAACTGGTAAGATTCACAACACCAAGCATCACACACCCAAATGAAAATAGTCATTTTGATGTGCTGCTTTGTTTAAATTCAAACACATCCCTCTTTACCTCTGTACTAACATCTCCTACTAACATCTCGCTCCTCCTCCTGTCTGTTGCTGCTTGTCTGTGGATCAGGAGAGCTGTAACAGCACCCCCTCCCACCAAGCTTGCTGCCCATCCCTCAATGTCACTGACATGTTGCATGGAGCTTCTGACAGGTAGTAACTTCCCAAACTACTCCTCTACTTGTTCTACCCTCATCTTCTTGCTTTTCCTTTGGTTTATTGGAAGTTCCTCTCTTAACAACAAGAGGGCAGCAGAGAGCAATAAATAAAACATACTGTTGCCAATGGAGAACCCCAATGAGACAACAACTAGCTTGAAAGTTAGGAAATATAATAGTAGCATTCTCTGTAGCCCAAAAGCAAGACAAGTATTGAGAATCAAACAGGTATTTTAGCCTCTTGTCTATACTGTATTTTAGGTGGAAAAGTCGCAGGGACAGGAAGCTCAGCCTTGCATGATTTCATCCCCTCCTCCTACCGAAGAGTAAAAATGGTCTGGTCTCACCCCTGCCCCCTGACTCCCCCAGGAAACAAATTTTGACCAAACTCTTGGACCAGTCCTGCAAAGACATCCGGAAACTCCAGTCAGACGGCTGGAGCAGCGAAGAAGAAGATGATGTTTTTGACGCCAGCCAACAGGAAACAACCTCACCCCAAACAGGTGACCGTTCCTCCATACTGTTGTGCTTATGTGTAAAAATCTTAATCTATGTTGAGCCGCACAAACAAACCTCATTCATTTTTTTTCTTGTACCCTCAGGCCCACCCATAGTGTCAGAGGAGGAACTGGCCACTTTAGCTCTCATCAGCCCAGCGAGGAGCAGTCAGTATTCAGGGTCAAGAGTCAAAGCTCTTATCCAGATTCTGCAGCATCAAGTGGACCAGCAGGAACTGGTCAAAGAGTTTATGGTGTGTATGTGTTATGGTTCAAAACAGTTACCGTTCACATTTATCAAGTGGTGTAAACCATAGTTATGACTGAGAGTGGTACTCAGTAGAGCCTCCGCCAAAGCACACCAAATTGCACAGACAATATCAGTTTCATCAAGATTCATGAATTACTCCCTTGGAAATCAGTTAAAATGTCAAATTATGCCCTATATCGTAATGTCAAAGAAATTTGAAAAAAGAAATTCCAGGAACCGGCCCCTGATCCAGATCCACACCAAACTTTTATGCCTTCTTCCCTGACCCATATCTCATTCTTTCACCAAGCTGAAAGCTGCAAAAACAGCAGGCAGACACACACATACTCAGTCATTACTAAGACATTGCACTTGTAGGGTTTCTTATGGACAGACACAGACAATGTATAATAAATTGATGTTGTATTTCAGGCTCTGGAGCATCTGAAGCCTTCCGACAACTGTTTGGTGGGAAAAGCCCCTGAGAACAGAGATAAGAACCGCTACAGAGACATCCTGCCCTGTAAGTCTGAGATACAACCTCTGGCAGAATCTTACCTTTTACTTTTTCCCTTTGTTCAAACCCCTGTGTTTGTAAAGACTAGACACACGCACATAAACTTGACATTTATTGGAGAGTCTGTTTGTTGGCACTCTCCTTAGCTGCCCGTTTCAAGATGACTGTAAAGGCCTCTAATGATGGCAGAGGAGATATTTGTTTACAACACTTGAGTCCAGCACAGCAAATCATAATATCAATGTTTCACTGGTGCAGCACTTAAATTTTGCTTTGACTCAGCCAAGAACATATTAATTAAATAGATGTCATCTGTTACCAACCTTGTAATTATGTGGGATTTATACTTTTAATAAATAAAGCAGGAGTAAATAATATTATAAGCTTTGTAATTACCATGAATTTCAGGGGAATAAATACAGAGAGAGATTGGACGGAAAAAGGAAAAACTCCACAAAAGATGTGCGTATGTGAGTTAAGTGATAGGGCGCAATGCTTGAATTGAGATAAGATAAGACAATCCTTTATTAGGAGTAAGAGGAGTCAAAAATAGGCATCAGTTAGTAATAATTAGTTACATGCAATACTTAAGTGTATTAATTATACTTGAATGGAATGGAATAAAACTAAAATATATATACAGTTTAAAAACAAGAAAAATGTGGGCAGTGTGAGAATATGTACAGTGAATAAATGGCACATGAACCATTATATTGCACAATATTGCACAGGGCTTCACAGAATTAACACTGAATATTGTAAAAAGAAATCCTAAAAGTTATTCTGACAAACACTTGGGAAACACGCACATTAAAACAAACACACTAAAATCTGCATTCACGTCCAGTTCTGACAGTGTGTTGGGGTGAAAAGTGTCAGATCTGAGACACGAGTGCGATGAAAAAGATAGTGACCCCCAGTGGAATCAAGGCGGACCTCAATGTATTACTCATTGCCTGCTGCCTGTTATAAATGCTATTTGTGCAAGTGGTCCAAAGAAATGAACATGGTCGGATCCATTGCGTTTAACTACTTTATTTTGAAAGCCAGGTTTCCAGTCTCTGGCTTTCTTGACTTCACACGTAGGAGGTTGGGGGGAGTAACCCAAAACAACATTCCTAACTCCCTTTAGTCTATCACCTCTCTCATCACCAACAAACGTCTTCACAGCACTGGTTTGTTGAACCTAATTCCAGACCTCAGAGCTGTTTACTTGGTGTTATTTACAGTACTCCTAGATCATGTGCTCCAGGGGAGAAACAAGGCAGCAGTGTTTGTTGTTGATGGTCAAGAATCCAATGGATTAATCAAACAGATAAAACATGTCTTCCCAATCTTTCTGTTTGAGGGAGAATGTTAGTAGGGGTGAAGTTGGTTTCAATCATGAATCCATGCAGTTTCTCTTTTCCCTCCATAGACGACAAAACACGTGTTGCCATTGGAGAGAACCAGGACTACATCAACGCCAGCTACATCCGCATGCAATTCGGTGACAAGGAGTTCTTCTACATCTCCTGCCAGGGCCCGCTGCCCTCCACAGTGTCAGCCTTTTGGCAGATGATCTGGGAAAACAAATCAGACGTCATTGCCATGATGACCCAGGAAGTGGAAAGGGGAAGGATTAAATGTCACAAGTACTGGCCAGAGAAGCTGGGCGTGCCCCTGGACACCGGCAGGTACCAGCTGCACCTGGAGAACCAACAGTACCTGGAGTACTTCCACATTAAGGTCATCCGAATGGTGGAGACAGAGGTAGGAGAGGAGTACCTGCCTGTCTGGTCAATGACCTGCTGCAATATCGTTCTTTACTCTGAACTTGAAATGCAATGTTTTTAAACTTGTTATTTCAGACCAATGAGACACATTTTGTCCATCACCTGAAGTTAACGCACTGGCCTGACCACGGTGTGCCACACTCCTCTGAACAGCTGGTTCGCTTCATCCGCTACCTGAGGGCAGTGCATCAACAGGGGCCAGTGACGGCTCACTGCAGCGCTGGCATCGGACGCACGGGAGTTCTCATCTGTACCGACATTATCCTCAGTCTCATTGAGAATGATTTACCTGTGAGTAGAAGCCAGTGTGATAGCTTAAGTTACCAGTAACTTTGGTGATCTCATTACTTTAGACTCTAGCACCTTCCACCATTTGTCCAATACTTTAGTTTAGCTTCGAATAAAATAGCTTAAACACTCACTTTGTGTTGTGTTTAACGCAACACAAATATTTTACTAGCATGTATGCAATCAGAGTGTATGTAAAGATGGACAACGTGATGCTCCGGGTTATGCACATTAATCCTGCCTCCTCCATGTTAGTGGATGGAACATGTATCAAACTGCATATCCAAGATATTTCAAATCCAATTCTGTATAGTGGGAGTAGGTGGATATATGTCATCCATACAGTCTATGATACAGCCTCATGGAGTTGCTCAAATGATTCTTAATCTTGAATAATTCAAAATAAACTAAAGCATTAGAGCAGTCCACACACATGTTGTAGTTGTGCCTAACCATGTTCTTTCTCTGTCTTCAGATCAACGTGAGCGACATCGTAAAGGAGATGAGACTACAGCGGCATGGAATGATTCAAACCAAGGTCAGTGCCAAAGTTCAAAGTTCAAGCTTTATAAAAATTTTAAAAAAAGACAGTTCCCAAAAGCTAGACGTGGCCTTTGTCTCTCTCTCGTTCCAGGAACAATACCTCTTCTGCTACAAAGTCTGGTTGGAGGTTTTACAGGGCATTTTACAGCTTGACAGCAGCCAATGGCAGCCGGACAGTCCCCGAGACCACAAAGTGGTCTGAATGTTTCCACTTTCACCTCACCTGCCTGAGAAGCTCAGGCTGTATATGTGTAACCTTGTTCAGTCAATCACACCACAGACTGGTGGTGGACTTTTCTTTGGCTGTAGTTAGTTTAGTTAGCTAGAATATGAAACCTGTACTTCTCTGTTTTGATACTTTGTGTTGAGGCCTCTTGGTTAGTTACAATGACTTTTTCTTATACGTGCTCTCGGTGCTGTGATTATGTCAGTTTCATTTAGATCACTGGGGTTGTTTTGCCTTTTCAGGCTTAGTGATTTGCCTTCTGTCTCTAGCATGTTTTTTTTTTATTTTTGTGTCACTATTTGAATGTATTATTTCTTTTTCTTGCATTTATTTTATTAACAGTCATATTGCATGGAACTTTAAAAAAAACATAATATCCACTTCTTTTATCTTGGCAGTAGTGTCACTAATGTCATCAGCGTGCACAACTTTAAAATTATCGTACCAACTTCGGTATCCGTCTGAAACGAATTGCGTTTGAGTAAGCGATGTGTTATCATTTCATTAAGTGCATTTCTAACCCTGGAGAAAAAGGGCATTAGCAAAAAGAGTGGTATTGATTTTTCAGTTCATCGTGTACGGTAATGAAAAGAATCAAGTGCCTTGGAATGACTCATTCGGTCGCTCCACGCTGACCAGAAGTCACTTGTCACAAGACAGCGGGGGGACGGAGAGCAGGCGGCCGACGGTGGTTAGACTGAATGTGCTGTTTTCAGTTTGTGGTTTGCGGTGGATCGATCCAAACCAGAGGAGGGCAACATCTCACTTTTTAGTTACTTTGAATGAATGTGAAGTTTGCACATCGCCTGGCAATCTTTTTTTTTCTTTGTGGGCCCATTTTATACAAAAACAGAATCACAATGAAAGTCTTACTACACATAATCACAACTTGCACATCCTAATACAGATAAAGAATGATTTGACGTGACAAATGTTTTTAGATAAATTCTTTTTTTTGTCTAAAATGTGGAGGAGGTTTTTTTTGACTGATTTAAATGTAAATTAAATAATTCGTTGCTGGGATGATTTGTCATGTGACATCATTGTTTATCTGTATTCCATAGCTATTTTAATACAAACTCAGCCAAAAATGCAAAAAATATTACAAGGTTTACAAACTTTCCATTTTGCCACTTTAAGGGCGTCTGATGTACAAAGCAACAGAGCTGCATCTCCGAGTCAAGATGATTTTTAGCTGCGGTTTGAACCTCAACCTTTGGATGTAAATGCTTGTAAGCTTTATTCTTTTAGCTGCTATCACACGAACACACACAGACACACACACCAGCTCCTGCATTGCATGTAGACTCTTTAAATAGAGACGTCTGAGCCTGGAGTTTGACTGCTGAATGATTTGAACGTGAGCAAAATTTGGAATGTAACGAAGCAATACTCTCCACGAGACGAGGAGAGGAGATGCAAATGTCAACCCCTTTCCCTGTAACATCTTCCAGACTGTTCGGAGCATGTTGGTGAGACATATGCAGTACCTTTGCCATGTGGATGGCCATGCAGAGCCATCAGCCTCTGTATGCAATATCTTTTCCCTCAGTGCTGGTCGGTCGGTTTCCCGCTCTGTGCAAGTTCATGTTCTCTCTTTGAGACGCCGTCGCTGTGTTTTCTTCCTCGGATCCTGGAAAAAATGATTATTCTTTAAAGAACAAACGAAAGCACATTTTGCATACATATGTGAAAATGCACCTTGTACAGTCGAGCAAGTGCTTCTGCGGTAGCATTGTGAAATGTAATAACCCCTTAATTGCACAACTGCTTATTTATGCTAAATTGATATCTTGTCACTGTACCAGCCACTATGTAACCGATAACTGAGAACAATGTAATACCTCTCTCTTTAATTAAAAACTATTCCGAAACTTGTTTGTGTGTTTGTGCTGCACATTTAACCCCCCCTCCCCAAGACTTGAGGCACAACATAACTCAGTTTGAACAACGGAACAAGAGCAGAGGAGTGGGTTTTCCCTGATGCACACACAGAACAGAGAGCCGGAGGCAGCTCTAAATCTAATTCTGCTGAGCCGCCCTCTCCACTTTTACTGCTGGGTATACTCCCTCTCGGGTTTTACTGCAGGGTAAATAAGCTGGTCTCACAGGGGTCTTTGTGACAGTATGGAAACCCCTGGAAACACACTGCACGCTCCGCACACATATAAACTTGATGTCGGGGGAAGCCACAGAGCAGATTTACTCCCCCACTCTCTATACCTCTCCTTTCTCTCTGTGTACTCCCACTGCCCTTGTGCACTATCTCTGAAAACACCCCAATTACACACACACACACACACACAAACACACACATGCACAAATCTCCTCCCTCCTCTTTCCCCTTGCTCCCGACTTCAGGCCTTGTTATTGCTGTAAGTTATGACAGCAGCGATAGCAACTTGATGATTCAAGGCCCATTCCTATTTACACAAGTATCAGTGTATTAAACAGTTGTCCTTTCATTTTCAGACCACAGGACACAGGAAGAATTACTGACTGACTCAAAAGTGATCTTGAAATGTAGTGAAGGTGATTATTGAAAATCTGTTGAGCCCCAAACTCTGCTGCATTAGATGATAACACAAGCAAGGATCAGGGTGGATTAAACACCATGACTGACAATGAAGCAAACAGGAAGATGTGGGGAGCTCTGTGTTAAAGTCATTACCAGGAGGCTGTTCAGTCAGTGTGAGTGTGATTTAAAGGCCTGAGGAACGTGTAGAAATGCACTCGTGTGCTCTCAGTAAATCCTCCTTCTCGCTGCTGCCCTCACAGTGCAACACACACACACGTACAAGCCTGTTTTCTTTTTCTGTGTACTGATTAAAAATAGCACACAAATTATGTGCTGCTACAAACTCCCTCCACACACTTCCCCGCAGCCCCCAGCCTTGTGATGTGTCCCATCCTCCTTCTCTGCCCTCGCTTGTCAAATTTCACCTTGAATTTCAAGAAAAATCTACTTGTAAATCAACCTCTTCAACCTGTGTTTCATTTCTAATTTGAACAGATTTAAAGTTGCATGAAATAGTTTTTCCTCACACAGTAAAGATAAGCTGCTTTCAGACGTGACCCAAACTCCAGACAAATTCCTGTAAGGGGCTGTATGTGAGAACGCAAATATCTATTAATTAAATATAAAAAAGAGGTGCCATACATGTAGACAATTTCAATTTGGACAAGACAATGATATTTAAGAGCTTTTCGCCAATGTGTTAAACAAAAAAAAAAAGATTTCCACTGTGGAATTTATACGACATTGTCCTGCCTCCTGCTGGATCTACCCAGGCGCCACCCTTCACCTGAATGTGAGATTTTCCTGTCGTCAACATGTCTGACCTGAACAATCTCCTGCTGCGTTCTTCATATGTGAAAGGCAAACTGCAAATGTGACTCAATTATCTAGAACGTAACTGGAGTTCATGTCTGAAAACGACTTTACGAAGTAAATTCATCACTAAACTTGCATGCAGTAAAATATTCTGACCCAAACATTTTATGGCTGAAACATTAGATAAAAGTTCTCGATGATCTCATGCATCAATGTACACTTTCCTGTTTTACAGCCTGCCATTACACAGTCTTTGGGATCATGACTGGAATTCAAGATGAAATTTCTACAGGTTAACACAAGGTTTGGGTGCACACCACGCTTTTGTCGTAACAGTTCCCTGGAAAGGTCTTTTTGGGTTGAAGAGGTTAAGTACGACCCCACTAATGCAGCTAGGCTCAAGATGACTAAGAATTATTACCGAGCACGGTTCTTGCAAAATAGGCCCAGTCATAGCTCATTTCGGTTCTCACAAAAACAGGGGCGAATTCCTTCAGCTTGTGTTTGCTGATCAACCAGCGAGATTAAACTTGTGCTGATACACGAGAGCGATCTGAGACCAGAGAAGCTGAAAGATAAAGTGGGCTTGAGTGGAGACTGAGGCAAGAAAGACTTCATCATTTACAAAAACACCAACTGCTCTTACAAAAGGGAAATGTGTAATATATAAAGATGTTTTCAGATGCCCATAAAAAGTTGAAGCGTCATTTATTTTTGCTCATTGTGAGGGACAGAAATTTCATGTTTTACACCAGAATTGCAAATGTTCAAACCTTAGGTTCAGAAGGGAATTTTCTGAACCCACACAGGACACAAAGACACAGTACTTAAAATTATATGAGCAAGGAGGGGATAACCAGAATACAAGAAATGCAACAAAGTGGTGCTTTAAACCTGTAATGTTTTATTCAAGGAATTGAAATATTCTACATACAAGTCTATACAATTGTGCATTTATACATTCTGCAGTAATGGAGCAAAACCATCCTTCATTCAAGTCTCACTTTCTCCAAGGAGGTTGGTTTCACCTGTTTGTTTTCTGGTTGGTTTGCATGTTAGAAAGCAAGATTAGGTGTTGTGCCCTTAGATGAAGGGGAATATTAAGTTTGATATCAAAAAATGAGCCATTTTCAGACATGACCTGCAGAAAAAACCTGGAGAATTTGGTCCAGGCTTTTTCTGCAGTTTGTTTTTGAACACATGCACATCGCAGCGGTACCAGGAGATTTCTTTCAGTTTATGTTTTTACATACTCTCTCACTGTGAATCCAGCGGATGATCTCCTGCTCTCACATCAGATTCTCCCAACTCCCTGCAGACTTTACACCAGGAGGACAAAGTCCACAGATAACCTCAGGAGTTCAGCGCATGTCTGTAATACAGTACATGAAACATATTCAGTCTCAGGACCACAGTTGAATCTTTTCAACACTTTCAAAAACATTTTTTTAAATCTTCTTAACTCAAATATCACATGGCATGAAATTGTGAAGAACTTTTGAACACACCGTTTAAACTACTGTGGCCTTTACAGTGTTAAGTCAGCAACTTCCATCCTACAGCACAGATACATGGATGAATATAAAAGCGGCAAACTCGGCTGTCAACAACAGCAGAGGCACGAGGTCTGCGGCTAATGCTAGCTTGTATCGGAGCTAGCCATGAACTCTTTCAAAACTTTATTTTCTTCCACATACAACCACAGTTACACAGCGAAATACTGTTACTGATGTTTGTTCCTAAGGTTAATGTTCTCTGTGTCTGGAAATTACCTTAAATGAAGGGGAAACGGAAGAAGGAAGACAACCGCACGCAGCTTCCGCCTGGAGTGAGGAAGAGGTGCGACCCCTGTGCTCTCTCAGGCATTAGTAATAGATTGAGGAGCAATTAATTGACACAATCGAGGATCTTCAATCTACAACCTCTTTAGTTTCACTGGCTGCTTACGTTAGTGTTTCACATTGATCAACACAAACACAAACAATACAAAACGGAAATGACATGCTGTGAACATAGACCATAGAACTAATGAGCAGAGAACTTGTCTGAATATGGACTGTTCTTTATCACATTTATGTCCCATGAGCAAAAACTATTTCAAGGACGGACACAAAACTTGGTAGAAGGATGTAATCAGGGGAAAAGTAAAAATATCATTTGTTTCACAACACTTTCAAGCTATAATTCATGGATCATGATGAAAACGATGTCAGGAATATAAAGGGACATTTTGTAGCTTGATTGAATTGAAGGGGTCATTTGAGCGGACAGGGGACGTGTTTGGCTCTTAAGATGCTAAATGCTCAACAAAGTTTACTGATTACATCCTCTAACTTTGTCTTTGTGCTGTTTGATGCAGGGCAGGAAGTGTACACTTTGCTTTGGAAACTTTTTTGCCCAAAATGACACTATGAGAGTGATGGCAAAAAAAAAAAAGTATGTTACACCAACTGTGTGCAACAAAGAGTGGTCGTCAGCAAATACCACAAAGTCATCACCGTAGTAAAAGAGTTTAACACACCTCTTAAAGTTCCCCCATGCTACAGATACCAATCATATCTCACTATATGGACTCTTGTCTTCTAGGAACTGAATCAACTATGTGTTCCAAAATGTGGTATTTAACTGAGTTTCAACAAAGCAACAAAATAAGAGCATGAGTGTGTTTTTCTGAGTTGTTGTTGGTTGTGCTGGTTGTAAGTCGACCCCCTCAGGCTCCTCGATGATGACAGCCCACTGACAGCGACACAGAGAGTCTTTCATCCAGCTCCCTGAGCAGAATGACACTTCTGTGGCTTTCCAGACTCTCAGAAACCTCAGACTTGTCAAAGGAAGGCGAGTATGATTACAGCCTGCACTGGTATGTTCACTTGAAATTATTTCAAGTTGGTTATGTAAAGGGTTTGCTGGGTTTTCTGTGGCGAGCTGTAAGGAGGGTCTGGAATTACATCCAGTGGGGGGTTTCTGAAAGGAATTGAGTTAGTTATCCAGGGATTTTGTACAATTTCCTGATCTGTTTTATTGTGTTTGACTAAATCTGAAATCTATAACATAACAAAACAAGACAAAGTTTACACCACATCACTGCACATCACAGCATGGTCTGTAGTTGTTATGTGTTGTTATGAATTTCTCCATCAGTTCTCGCCAGATTTCATTATAT